TACCACTGATACAAAACAACCCTTTAGGATCCAATTCTCATTCCTAAAGTAATTCAATCTCAATTGTTCCAAGATTTCCTATTAGTGTGCCCTAATCAAATTTCATGTTTCAAATCATCATTCCAAGGGTTTTCAATCTCCAAATAAGGATTAAAGATGCTAATCCATTTACTCTAGATTCCCAAATGAAGCTAATTTGGGTTCTCCTCGAAAACAGAGGTCGAAACAACATTTTCAGGCAAAACAAGGTCGAACCCCATGTACATCGGTCGACCGGTGACAGAGCAGTGCAACACCACCGGTTGGCCGGTGGTGTGTAGTTCGATCGACCGTACTGGTCGACCGCACAAGTTGACCGGTTGCCATGTGATCCGGTCGACCAGTGGAATCAGCAGCGCGAGAGAAGCTCGCGAAAACCAGTCTGAAAACCTACAAATCCAGTCCCAAATCAAAATATCTCTAAGGATAACCACTAGATCCGGGTTCTAAGTACTAAATCAAGTCCAAAGAACCCAAGATCTCCAATTTCTACCATGGTTTTACTCAAAATCCATTTTGAACCATAAATAGGTTTTGAAATCCACAAATCCGAGATTCAAGAGTGGGCTTTTTTTTCAGAAATCTTACCTTAAATCCTCTTCTTGGCATTGAAAACTTCTCCAAGTCTTTCTTTGGTTCAAGATTCAGTCATTTTGGGACAAAAACGGGAGAGAGAGAGTGAGAGAGACAATCGAGAGAGAGAGAGGGAGAGAGACGAGTGTGAGAGTGAGAGATAGAAAGAGTATGCACAGGAGGAAAGAGAAAAGGAAAGAAAAAGAAAAGTAAAAAAGAAAAGAAAAAGGCATGAGTATAATATTTTAAAAAGACAGTCCAGAAATGTGCCCATACACACTTCTGGGTAAAAATGTAAATACTAAGATATTTAAATACCTTGGAATTATTTAAATTCTCATATTAGAAACATTTCTTAATTAATAACCAATTAATTAATTCAGTTTTGGCACACTAATAAATCTCAATTACCTTAATTAATCTCATTTAATTTTTCAGTGTGTTACAACTCTATCCCCCTTAAGGAATTTCATCCTCGAAATTAGGGCTCACCTCAAAGTGTAAACAGATGCAGATATCACCCCTGCATCATCATTTCAAGCTCCCATGTCACTTCCTCAACTCCATGGTTCTGCCACAACACTTTTACTAATGGAATCTCACAATGACGCAGACTCTTTATCTTCCGGTCAAGAATCTGAACTGGTGCTTCCTCATATGTCGCGTCATACTGTATTGGAACGTCACACCATTGTACCACAACTTCCGATTCAGGTTGACATTTTTGAAGCATGGAGACATTGAACACGTGATGCACGTGAGATAACTCAGGAGGTAAAGCTAGATGGTACGCCACAACTCTAATTCGTTGCACGATCAGGAATGGTCCCACATACCTGGGTGCAAGTTTCCCTTTCACACCAAAATGAACAACTCCTTTGCATGGGGAAACCTTCAACAAAACGAAGTCGCCTTATTGGAATTCCAAAGGTCTACTCCTTCTGTCCGCATAACTCTTTTGACGACTTTGAGCTATTAACAGTCATTCTCGAATCACAGCTATCTTCTTATTACTCTCTTGAATAACTTCTGGTCTAGTACTCAGTCAATCCTCTGGTTCCAGCCAACACACAGGTGACCTGCAAGGATGACCATAAAGAGCTTCAAATGGTGCCATACCGATACTGGCCTGATAGTTGTTGTAGGCAAACTCAGCAAGGTACAGGTATTTCTTCCAGTTTCCACCAAATTCCAGAATACAAGCACGAAGCATATCCTCCAGAATCTGAATAACTCTTTCAGATTACCCATCAGTCTGAGGATGAAATGTTGTGCTGAAATTCAATTTTGTTCCTATGGCTTCCTGGAAACTCCTCCAATACCTTCCATTAAAACGAGTGTCACGATCGGATGTAATGGACAGTGGCACTCCGTGAAGTCTCACGATGTGCTCTAGGTACAATTCTGCCAGAATCTTCTGAGAATACGTCGCACGGAACGGTATAAAGTGTGCAGACTTCGTTAACCTATCCACCACCACCCAGATGGCATCGTGCCTTTGCTCAGTTCTCGGGAGTCCGATTAGAAAATCCATAGTGATGTGCTCCCATTTCCATCCAGGAACAGGAAGAGGTTTCAACTCTCCAGTAGGTTTCTGATGTTCTGCTTTAATCCGGAGGCAAGTTGCACATTCTGAGACATACACACGAACGTCTTTCTTCATGTCTCTCCACCAGTACTGTCTTTTCAGATCCTGGTACATCTTAGTACTCCCAAGATGAATAACAAACCTCAATATGTGAGTCTCATGCAGAATCGTCTTCTTTACCTCATCCACCTTACGAACAGCAAGGCGGTTGTGGAAGTACAAGGCTTTATCCTGTCAGATTCTCCAACCCTCGAGTTGCTCTCCATTCTGGATTCAAATCCAGATTCCTTGGAGATGAGAATCCTGCCATTGATTCTTCTTGACTTGTTGCACAATATCCGGTGTAGAAACCAGATTATACACCATAGCCTGGTTATACTCCTCGAAGTACTGAAGATCATAATCACTCACCACTTCAGTTCTTTTCCAGTCTTCCAAGGCTAGTGATGCCAAAGTTCCTGTGGTCTTCCTGCTAAGGGCATCAGCTACCACATTAGCTTGGATGATACTGTAGTGTGAAATCATAGTCTTCCATGTATTCCACACATCTCCTTTGCCTGAGATTAAGATCTTTCTGAGTAAACAAGTACTTCAGACTTTTATTGTCAGAAAAGACTAGAAACTTTGCTCCGTAGAGATAACATCTCCATATCTTCAGAGCAAATATTACCGCTGCCAGTTCCAAGTCATGAGTGGGGTAATTCCGTTCATGTGGCCTCAATTGGTGAGATACGTACGCTACAACGCATCCACCTTACATCAAAACACAGCCAAGTCCACTCCCCGAGGCATCAGAATACACCTCATATGGCTCTTCATTATCAGGAATAGTTAGGGCTGGTGCACTTGTCAGCCTAACCTTAAGTTCTTAGAAAGCATCTTCGCATTCAGTATCCCATTCGAATCTAACTTCTTTCTTAGTCAACTGAGTCATCGGTGCAGCAATACTCGAGTAGTACCCTGTAAGTCTGAGGAAACTGTGAATTTCTGCTACATTCTTCGGCCTTTGCCACTGTAGCACAATCTCAATCTTTGAAGGATCTATAAAAATTCCTTATCCTGATATCACATGCCCAAGGAACTTCACTTCTGTCAACCAAAAGTCACATTTTTCCTTCTTTGCAAACAACTGGTGTTCACGAAGAGTCTGAAGAACAATTCTAAAATGCTGCTCATGTTCTTCCCATGTCTTCGAGTAAACCAGTATGTCATCGATGAAGACAATCACAAACTGATCCAAGTACGGCTGGAAAACACGGGTCATTAAATCCATGAGTGCAGCCGGGGCATTCGTCAGCCCAAAAGGCATTACAAGAAACTTGAAGTGTCCATACCGAGTTCTAAAAGCAGTCTTCGGGATGTCTCCCTCCTTAATTTTCAGTTGGTGGTATCCAGGCCTCAAGTCAATTTTAGAGTAATACTGTGATCCACTTAACTGATCGAATAACTCATCGATCCTCGGCAGTGGGTATTTATTCTTCACAGTTACCCTATTCAATTGACGGTAATCAATGCACAACCGAAGAGATCCGTCGTGCTTATTCACAAATAACACTGGTGCACCCTAAGGGGATGTGATATTCCTTATATATCCCTTTTCTGCTAGCTCCTCAAGCTGCTTTCTTAATTCTTTCATTTCAGCAGGTGCCATTCGGTAAGGCGGAATAGAAATAGGTGTCGTCCCCAGAACCAAATGAATGCTAAATTCAATCTCCTAATCTGGTAGTAAACCAAGTAACTCCTCAGGAAACACATATGTGAACTCATCCTCCACAGGAATTCTCGCACTGTCTCCAATTACCTCGTGTTCACCTTCCAAAGCAAGAAGGGAAGAAAAGCAGGCTAGATTCCTCCATTCCCCAACGATGTACCTCAACAGTCGTTCTCCCAGGACTGGATTCATGTCTGCCTGATAAGCAATCACCACTCCAAAATTTGTAACCAAAGTCACTCTTCTATGGTAGCAATCAATAATTGCTCTGTATTTCAACAACGAATCCATTCCGAATACCACGTCAAAAAAACTCATCGAAAGGATGATCAAGTCGGATCTCAACCGCTCACAACCAATCATGATTTCACACGATCTACACACACTCATCACCTCCACACATCCTAGTGGGGAGTTCAACGTCATCAGGACTTCTAAGTCCTCAAATTTTAGTTTCAAGGTCCGAACAAAAGAACTTGATATAAAAGAGTATGTAGCACCAGTAGCAAATAGTACATGTGCTAAAGAGTGAGAGATTAGGATCATACTCTCAACCACCATGTTGCTGGCATGGCCTCTAGAACTGCCTCCTATCAGGGCATAAGCTTGTCCCTGCACTTTTCCCTTTTCTTTATCATCCATATTATGCCTTTTGGCTCCCGGCCTATATTGTTGCGATGGAGGTATCTGTACCGATCCAACCGGTTGAGGCTGAAACTGTGGATATTGAGGTGGATGGTTGGCTAGCACAGAAGGGAATGGCATCAACATTTGCATCTATGGCTGATAGGGTGGCACAAACTGTGGTGGCCTTTCCTGACTGTAGGAAGTATCACTTTGGGCTTGTCAATTCGGCAGCCGACTAGGACAATTCCTCTTAATATGGCACACCTGCCCATAATGATGGCACTTGGGTCTATAAGGACCACTCCTGTCACTTCCTGACGAACTACTACCACCACTAATCATTTCCTCACCAGTCTTTCCCTGATTTTGGTTTCTTCTACCACTCCACTGTGGCCCACCTGAAGCATAAGGTACACCAGAGACAGAAACTCGACCAACTGCTTTCCTGCTCTGTTGGTAAGCCTAGTTATCTTGCTCCACACTTGTCGCAGCAGCCACTAAATCCCAGAAATTCTGAATCCTTAAAGCTACCAAGGGTCTCCTGATAGAATTCTTAAGGTCCTTCTCAAACTTAAGACATCTAAGGTGTTCAGACTCCAGTAAAGATGGCATAAACCGGGATAGGTCATTAAATTTGGCCTCATACTCCCTCACAGATACATCGTCTTGTAGCAAGGACATAAATTCCATCACTTTTTCATCCCTATAGCTCTGAGGGAAGTACTGCTCATTAAAGATGGTCTCGAACTGTTCCCAGGCCAATCATGCAACATCTATTCTTCTCCTGACCTGTTTCCACCAAGTGCTCGCTTGGCCTTCCATCTTGTATACCACAAATTCAACCCAGTATTCATCTGGCACTCCCATAGTATTCAAGTGCTTGACTATGGAATCAAACCAGAATTCTTCTTCCTGGGGTCCTCCCTCACTATTGAACGTAGGGATAGGCGCTCGTCTAAATTTCCAGAAGTAACTTTGCTTCCTATCCTCAACCGGTCGTTCATTCTGAGCTCTCGTGGCCATGCCTTGAAAGGCAAAATACATGGCATCCAAAAATTCATGATTCTGTTGTGCTGGTTGATTAACTGATCTACGGCGAGGTGCCATTTCCGTCAACTGAAATGAAACTAGACTGTTCAATGGATTACAGATGTCACACATGTATGTACAATCCTGGGGTTTCTTAACCTAGGGCTCTAATACCACTCTGTTGCGTCACACAGGGGTAGGCGACGTGGAGCTCGATTAGGGGTTAAACGCGTGATAAGAAAGGAAGTTCCCAAGCGAGCGCCACATAACTTGATTAAAATATAAATTTCCAAGACTTGAGCCTCTGACAACACACAGGGCTCCACCCATAGGACATACAGTCATATGCATACATGAACATGTAAATGATCATTACAGATATCAACCACAGTCTAGAAATCCCAATATGAGAGTTTACAGAATTTACAATTCCTTACATTTATATGTCAGAGGATGAACACAATCCTTACTTGTTCCAATAATAACAAATAGTCCAGCTACTCTGCACCATTCCTTGACTCTCCTGGGAGGGGTTTAATATTCATAAAATAGTAAAACGTGAGCGAAAGGCCCAGTAGGATATAATTTGAAATAACTTTAAAATAAATGAATAAATAAATAAGCAAGTGAATAAGTAAATGGATAAGTAAAGAAAATTTGACATTCAGTTCCAACACAACAGCCGGAACCTCACATCCTTTTTCTCAAAGGAAATATATCAGAAAATATCCGTATTACAGGCATCAGTAAGTAATTAGTGTAAATTACTTACACAACCAAGTGCATAAGCCTCCCACCGGGTTTTGGGTTCTGCCCCTAAGGATGCACTCTCCACATCCTATCTAGGCCATCAGCAAATTTTTACCGTTCCCAAGATCTCTTTTCTTAAGAAATCGTTCATTAAACTTTCTGAAATCGTTATTAAAATCCCACGAACTACACAAGCCGTGGGCCCCATGAACTACAACAAGCCATGTGTTCCATGAACTATAACAAGCCATGGATTCTTTGAACTACAACAAGCCATGGTTTTCAAATATTTTTCTTTCGCAAAACAAGTCCCTTTCTTTAAAACATTTACAAGGCCAAAATCTTTCTTGAAAATCAGGCTCACAGGGAAAAGGGGATAGAAATCCCACCTCACAATACCAAACCTGTGACTAGCATGGCTATATTATGGCTTCTGCTTCTTCAAAGCCTCTCAGTCTGAGTCCTCAGCTAGCACTGATACAAAACAATGCTTTAGGATCCAATTCTCATTCCTAAAGCAATTCAATCTCAATTGTACCAAAATTTCCTATTAGTGTGCCCTCATCAAATTTCATGTTTCAAATCATCATTCCAAGGGTTTTCAATCTCAAAACAAGGATTAAAGATGCTAATCCATTTACTCTAGATCCCTAAATGAAGCAAATTTAGGTTCTCCTCGAAAACAGAGGTCAAAACAGCATTTTCAGGCAAAACAGTGTCGAACCTCGTGTACATCAGTCGATCGGTGACAGAACAATGCAACACCACCAGTCAACCGGTGGTGTGTTGTCCGGTCGACCGTACAGGTCGACTGGTTGCCATGTGATTCGGTCGACCGGATAGGTCGACCGGTGGAATCAGCAGCGCGAGCGAAGCTCGCGAAAACCACTCTGAAAACGTACAAATCTAGTCCCAAATTGAAATATCTCAAAGGAAAACCATTAGATCCGGGTTCTAAGTACTAAATCAAGTCCAAAGAACCCAAGATCTCCAATTTCTACCATGGTTTTACTTAAAATCCGTTTTGAACCAAAAATAGGTTTTGAAATCGACAAATCCGAGAATCAACAAAGGTTTTTTTCAGAAATCTTACCTTAAATCCTCTTCTTGGCATTGAAAACTTCTTCAAATCTTTCTTTGGTTCAAGATTTAGTAGTGTTGGGACAAAAACGGGAGAGAAAGAGAGAGTAAGAGACAATCGAGAGAGAGAGGGAGAGAGAGGAGTGTGAGAGTGAGAGAGAGAAAGAGTATGCACGGGAGGAAACAGAAAAGGAAAGAAAAGGAAAATGAAAAGAAAAAGGCATGTGTACAATGTTTTAAAATGACAGTCAAGAAATGTGTCCATACACACTTCTGGGTAAAAATGTAAATACTGAGAATATTTAAATACCTTGGAATTATTTAAATTCTCATATCAGAAACAATTGTTAATTAATAACCAATTGATTAATTCAGTTCAGGCACACTAATAAATCTCAATTATCTGAATTAATTTCATTTAATTCTTCACGGTGTCACAATCACATTTAATTTTCTCTCAGAAAATCATCACTAATAAAAACCTTAACAATAGGTATTTATATAGCACAAGAAAAACCTGAAAAATCCAAAAAGAAAACCTACAAACCGACTTAGAAATCAACTTGGCATGTGCCCAGCACTGCCTTTTCGGCACTTCAAATGCCCTTGTGTTTTTCATGCTACGCGCTGCGATTGTGGTGTGAGCACCCTGGCGCTGATTTTCGAAGCGCCATGGAGCCCATGCTGTGGCGCTGCACTGCTATCCAGCGTGCAGCTGCTCTCCTAGGGCCGCGAAGCCAACAAACTGGGGCCACGTTCTCTTTGCCGCACCATTTCTCTACACCTGTGTACACTTCAATTAAGAGATTTGGAAATCTACTTTCAAAGTAGTTGTAGAAACCTTCATCCAATGATCCTATGGATTTCTGAAACAGTCACCGACCAAAATGAGTTGTAAGAACGTCAATAAGGCACATTCTATTTTGTGTCTGGAAATAAACAATATTCATAGAGAATATTTCTTTAGAACTAGTACCTGAATATTCGGTGGACACTTTCCATAATGAATATAGGTGTGTCGAATAAACCGCAATAATTCTGGAAGGCTTTTGAATTTGTAAGTATTATTTGGACAGTACTTTTCCAATTGATCAATTGCATAATTCATTATATCTGCATCAATCCTGTTGTTCCATTCTTGAACATGCTCTCCCTTCCATTTTCCTTCTATAACTTTCGATGAAATAGTTTCTAGCTCATTGCGAAGATGTTTGCCCTCAAAATCAAATACTCTTTTGTAAGTGTCAAGAAGAAATAAAAGTTTCTCCTTCGGATCCCAAAAATGTGGATGGCACAGTGCCTCCTTTGCTGTTAGACTGGCAACAATAGAAAAGAAGTGAAAAAGAAGCATGCATACATGCATGTGTGTGTGTGTGTGTGGCATAGCTATGGTCTTCCTGGGAGAAACTTATCTCCTTCATAAAATTTAGAAGTAAGAAATCGAAGAAAAAATGTCAGAATTATGTTGAATAAATGTCATTTTACTTTTCTTTAACTTCTTTATGTTACAATATGATCACTTCTTTATGTCAGAGCCCAAGGAAAGGAGTTTTTTATGGGACCTTGATTCCGCACTCTTTCGGTGTAATATCATAACTCAAAATAACTAATTTATGAATGTGGTTTTGTTGATATCTATATACGTCTTGGATAAGTACTATCAGGTTTTTAGTTGGCATTTGTGGCAATAAGAATTCAAACAATTCAGAAACTAACTAGTTCTACAGATAAGTGACGTGTTGCGAAAGTCAAATCCGTGATAAGGCTTTTGAAATTGAAGTGTTATTTATCAAAATAAAATCCGGTTTTGTTACTAGGATAAGTCTCAACATAGATCATGCAGTAGAGATAAAGCGGAATTGGCACTGAAGATTTAAATTGGGACGTCAAAGATTTGAAGAAGATATGATCAAGATAACCCTAATTTGAGTTAAATTCAAATTTCAAGCTTAAATAGGATTCGGTTTTTGTAGATATAAAAGCCAAGATGTGCAATTTCATTAGAGGACATTTTTCAGAAGGCTTTTAGAAGAAAAGAGCAGAGAAAAATGGATAGAAGATTCTAGAATCGGATTTGAAATTTAAGAATTAATGTTGCAACAAATTGTGGGATAAATTTTGCAATATTCAAATTTTGAAAGATACTCATCTGAAATTTAAGATTAATGATTGTCTGCTCTTTATAAGTCTCAAGTCAATGCAAGTTACAGCTATCGGGAACATCTACACACAATTAATTTTGAGTTTTTTATTCTACAGGAGAAGAATTTGAAATTTTCGGGAGAAAACATTTTGTGAATTGAAGGGAGTTCAATGTCAAGACATTGAAGACGAGTGATGCTCAGTGAATAATCTAGCTAATTGTTACAAGATCTACGCGACAATTACAAGGAGTCAGTAAGTTAAGTCCATTGGTGATTGTAACGGTGTTTAAATAATGAATTATTCAACAACTAGGTGTGACCCTGTGGATATAAGTGTTTACCTGAAAATTCCATACTTTTGGTAATTGATTAATCTGATTAAATAACTTCTAGTTGGTAAATTAATATAACAGGACTCGTTTCAGTATTTGTTGCAACAATAACACTATACATAGATCTTTCAAGTACCCATTCAGGAAAGTATAAGCTTACCGTTCTGTAGGATTCTTGCTTGTTAAACAAAGGAAAAGATGACGAGCTTCAGGATAATTCTCCAACAATGAGTCCCTCTTCTTTGTTATTGTTTTCCAGTCACCAAATTCAGAAATACCAGTGATGCAATAAGAGAAAATTCCACCGAAAGTGTGCATATCATCAACCCATATATGGTTCCCGTGATCACGACATGCTTGCCTATCCAAAGTGCCACTACCTAGTAAAGAAATTAATTCCACAAAACATGAGACAAAATGAATGATAAACCCTAAGAACATTAGGTTAAAGAATAACATAAGCAAATAATACATCAATTGGATAATATTAGGATCTTGATGAAGAGAATATTAGTTGATCAATTATCTATATACATACATATATAAAATGTACGGGGGTGTTTAAGAGGCAAATTAATGCGAATACTTACCAGTTTTAATGCCCATGTCATAAAGCTTTACATGCCACAATGATCCTTCCTTAATTATTCGAATGTTTTGAGGCTTCAAGTCTCCGTGACTTATGCCCAATGCATGTAACTGCACTAGCCCGCAAAGCATTTTCCTGTGGAATAATACAAACATATATAATTAATCAGGTGTATCAAACATGATGATATAAAATCTAATCCAAAAAGAACTTAACCAACCTCATCACTGTCCACGATAAATCAGGAATTGGACACCCATTTTTTGGAATGAGTTCAAATTTTCCGACAATATTCTTCACTACTTTCAATCTGTCATTTGCCACAACCTCAGACAGATTGGAATTTGCTAAGTCTAGTTGAACCAGTTCATCCAAGTTGAATGATGTTTCATCCAAGTAGCACTCTTGCTCCATAGCAACATAAAAACACTCTTCATAAGGTATTACGCCATAATATCTCACTAAATTTGGAAGGTATTTTGATTCTTTTATCAGAATCTGAATCTTCTTAGCATTCATGTCGTAATCAGCTTTGCGAAGGCGTTTCACTGCAGTCGGTACTTTATAAGTACCCCTTAAAATAATGTTGTCGTGGTTTTTACCCTCGCTAAGTTTATCTGGTAGGAGCTCTAGATTTTGGCCTATCTGCTGTGGCTGTTGGGGATCACATTTATCACTTTCAGATGAAACTTCTACGGTGGAAAAAGCGTTGGTTAGCTCCTGTTCCTGTTCCTGATTGATTAAACAGATATCTTTCATGATTAATGTATGAAAAAAAAATCCATCAAATTAGGGGTGTCAAACACAACATCAGCACATAAAGGAGGTGTACCATGGCCAAAATTAAGGGTCTATCAATGCATTCTTCGCATCATATGTCATGACCGAGAAATTTATCAAAATTGTTGTGTAGGATAATATTTCCTAGAATCTTTTGTATTATTAATATCAATACTTTTATGATAAGTATTTGTTTATATAAATAGTGAATGGCGAGTTATAAGTTAAAAATTACAAAGTAGTTACAGATTTTCGAACTATGTTCAATAAAGAAGTATGGAACGTTGTGTTAAATCCACAAGTGGGTAAACAAATGAATGTTAAGGTTAAGAAATGAAAGAGAATTGAAAGACATCAATTCTAGGGTTTTAGAAACAATCGGAATGAAGAATGGACGAAAAAATGGGTTCGGAAGGCCGAATAGTGTAAATTAGGGTTTCGACTGATTTAAGTGGACAGAGTCAAAATTTGTTGACCAAGAGTCGATCAAAACGTTGCCCTCGAAAAGTTAGTCAAGAATGGTCAAGGTTGACTAAGTTGACCAACTGTCTGAAAAACGCAGATTAAATGCACACCGGACAGGAATTAAACGGAACAGAAATGAGATAATTATTATGATGAATGGCTAGGATTTAAAGTAATTAAATTGATGAGTAGCTGAGATGAGGACATGTGGAAAGCCAAGAAAAAAAGGGGGCAGCCGGCCAACTTAATGAAGAAGCAAGAGATATTTATTGGAATTTTTACAAAAAGTCCTTGAAAAAGTCAAATTTTGCATTGTTTGGTCCCTTACTTTTTGATAGTCGGTTCAATGCTGAACAAATACAAGTAAATGGTCACTTTTCATGTAGGGTAAAAACAGAGAGCCCAGCCAAGAGAAAAAGATAGGGAAAAAAATTCCAAAGTGAGAAAAAAAGGGATTTAAGCAGAAATCGACAGAATTACCGAGGAATAACATCATGGAAACTTGTTCTTCATTCCCTAAGGTGAGATTTCAAGTTTTTCCTCTTATTTTTTCTTCCTTGGTTGTCGTGGAAGTGTAGCGAAAGTATGAAAAAATTTTACTAAAAATGGTGATTTGCTTGTAATGGTTAAGGAACTTGAAATCTAGTGAACTAAGGATAAATTCTTTGTTATTGAACTTTTGTTTCTAGCAATTCTTGATATAGAGAATTTTGATGGAAATATGGAGAAACTCTAGAACCATGATGATGTTGATGGTGTATTTGAAAGAGAAATGATGTGGTTTGTGTTTGAAGGTGAAAATAATGGATAAAGCAAGTTAAATTTAGCTCGGGAAACATAGAGAAATAGGCAGAACTCTGCCAAAATTTGATTTGAGCATTTGAACTAAAATCGGATTTTAAGAGGAATAAGGGATTAAAGTGTGAAAAATAAGTCGATTCGATAATAGGTGATATATAGAAACCGAACACAATGAGAATTCACAGTTTTGAACCAAAACTAAAAATTAGGCCCATGACTGAGGAAGGTGCACAGTTTTAGTACAAATTCTTGAGATAGGAAATATTTTGGCATTGAATACCAAACATAAGGATTGTAGATCTTTCCGAATTAAATTAATTTTAAATCTAATGATAAAAAATTTATGCAATAGGAGCGATTAACGATCGAAGTTAGAAGGCATCAAGTGAGACAAAGGACGCGACATTGGCAAAACTTCTGTAAGTATCAGTAGTTTTCTTGTCTACAACGTGAATAAATTGTAGACTAAATGTATGCTAGAATGCGAAAGATGACTTATGAATGTTAGATACAATGTTATGTATGTATCTACAAGACTTAAGTAGCAATAGAATTTTACTCTGCGAAAAAATATGTATCGGCATCAAGTCGAAGTCAAGTTAAAAGAAAAAGTTAAACTTTAGCGAAAAGTTAATCTCATGATAAATTGCTCAAAAATGCACAAAGTCATAAGATTTAACTTAAGTTACCGTCTCAATGAGAAAATTAATAAACGGTAAGAGACCAAACATCCTATTTCTACCAGCCTTCAAAGGAAAGGTTATTGTGAGACTGAAAGAGACGAAACCATGACAGAGCTGGATTGGTTAGCTACCCCACTCCTCGTTGGTTATGCGCGCTATGGTACAACAGGACAGGGCTCATAAGAAGTAAAAGACAAGAAAATGAAAAACAGAAACCGTTCCATATAAAAGTGCGGTATCTGTAAAGAAGAATGAGAAGAATGAGAAACACTATGTGAAAGTCGTTCAGAACGTGAAAATACAATGTGAATGACTAGAGTGAGACGAAAGCTGAACAAAGTATGTAATGAAAGAAGAAGAACATAAGCAATACATGTTCTAGTAGTACAGAGTATCTTAGGATATATGACATGAATGCATATATGTGTATGCATAATTATTACATCTATTATGACCTACTGTTACTTGCTAAGCGAAAGCTCATTAAGTTTGGGTAAGGCACCGGCTTCCTGAAACTTGTTGTTGGGCATGCAGAGAGGATGTAGCAGCGGAGTGTGGGTAAGTGGGTAGTGGATGCATCACGTGTTTTGAAAACGCTACTAAGCTTTATGTGTATAAAGTAAATAATGTTTTATGAATATAGATGAGTTAGGTAACGAAAGTTGAGTTTACGTGACAGTGAGACTATGCAAAGCAACCTCTAATTATAAGGTATGATTAATGTATCTAAATGCTATAGCATTAATGGAATGCATAACAAAATGCTACAGCATTAACGAAATGCTACCAAAATGCTACAGCATTTAGACGTATGAATGGTTGAAAAAATTAGCTTGAATTTTTAAGAGGTTATAATTAGAAAGTAGTAAAGGATGAGTAATGCTAAGTATGAACGTAGGATAATGATCAAAAATTATGGTCGTCACATCATAAAACTGAAAAAGGCATCGGCAATAAAAAGTGAGCAAGTTCGAGATATGCCTGCGGATGATTTGTTGAGGTAACTTCCACAGTAGTTAAGGGGTTAAATTTCCTGATTGAAATGGAAACTTAATTTGCCTAAGGGGTGCTCGATGCAATTCATAAAGAGTGTCCATGAAATCAAAAAAGTAGGGTCTCATATGTGTTCAAAAGGAGCTATAAGTGCACAGGTGATCATGAGGGGCATAACATAGGGGATAATATCACTAGCTGCACCTTACTTTCTTGGCATGCAAGTACTGTGCTTTTTCTTGGTACTAGTGGATTCAATTTTTCTCTTTCGGCAGAAGGCGATAAAAAAAATGATACTATGGAGGGGTTATTTCATCAGTGGATATTATAGAAAACAAATTAGCAACAAAACCATGGTATAACAGATTTGTCATGAACATTACTGCGTGTATGATAGTATATGATAACTAAGAAAAAAGATGTTTGTATTAAATACGAACCAGATAACGAGCGAGATCATTGTGTAGACTTTTTAGCTCTTCTACATCAACTATACCCTTGATTTCATCCAACGGTACGTTCTTCTGTGAAAAATCAATATCAAATATCAACATATAGCCAGAATTGTATTTTCAATCGTATCCCTAAATTTGCCATCAATAGTATTATTTGATATAGTAGAATATAAGGCACATAAAAGAAAGAAAGAGAATAGGAGAGTATTAAAATGCAACCTGCAGAAAATTTCTAAGATATTTCACTGCTTCAGAGAGTTTTTTGCACTTCTCATTCGCCTCTAGACTTTTTCTTTCCTTCTTCTATAACAATATAACAAACATCAAAAGTCAACCTGGAAATCCTTTCCACTTTAGAATTTTCAAATATATTTACATAAATTTGTTGCAATAAAATGAAAGTAAGAATAATATTGAAATGAAACCAACTAATAATAAGTGGCAACCTTTTACCTCCAGATTATCTTCATTTTACGTAAAATACTTTGTGTTCATATTATATTCATTTTTACTCATTTCTTATTTTACCGTCAGATTTGCCAACAGTATAGGTAATTAAAATGAACGGATCAAGAAGAATATTGAAAACAACCACTTCTTAATTAGTGACAACCTCTTTCAAGTCTCTTGAAACTTGTGTCCGCGTGGGAGAATTGGAAGAAGAAGCTCCTGAAATTTCTTTAATCTTTTTAGTTGTCCGTGGAATTCTTTTCCCCGTCTGCTAACATTAATCAATATCAAATGTCAATGTCGAAGTACTTTCACTTCAAAGATAAAGAAATTTGTTGCAATATTATAAACAATTACAATGAAAGGAAGAAGAATATCGAAAATAGAACTAGCTCAATAATTAGTGGCAACCTCATTCAGTTGTCCTAAACCTTGTGTTTGCTTCGAAGAACTAGAAGAAGAAGCTTCGGAAAGTTCTTTCAACCTTTCATTTGTATGTGGAACTTTTTTCCCCTTCTTGTAACATTAATCAAAATCAAATGTTAACCTGGAAGTGCTTTCCAGTTCACAGATTTTCAAATTTATTCATAGAAATATTAGAATGAAAGGAAGAACAATATCGAAAATAGAACTAGCTCAATAATTAGTGGCAACCTCAACTTAGATGCAGTCAGGTGGGTAGCTTACAGGCAATAACCTGAAAGTTTACAAGAAGTGATCTCAACTTAGTTCAGATTACTGTTATTTATGTATTATTTTGAGTTAATCATTTGCTTAGATTATTCCTTTAGTATATATGCGTCTAAATAAACATTGTTTACCTCCTTTACTGATAATTAGCTATTGATTGGAAACAATGTGGCATGTCATTAATGTCAAGAAATAGAGGAGAAGATAGATTACATATACACGAAACAAAGGAAACCTGGATCATGCACCGCTATAGGATGCATGAGATATTAGTGACAGGAGACTATGTTACTAGAAATTTTCTGTTCCAGCTTGCGAGTAGAAATATGTTTTACTGCTTTTTAATAATTTTAATTGACATTAATGTCAGTAGTCTTATTTGAACCTGGATCATGCACTTTTTTTCCTTTTTTCCAGAAAGGGCAAAGATACCAATTTATCAGCTTGGGCAAATTCTATCAGGGTACTGATAGTTATTAGGTTTGCTTTGTTTTGTTTTTCCCTTTGGAAAATTGGTGGGTGTGTGTGTGTGTGTGTGTGTGTGTGTGTGTGTTGTGTGTGTGTGTGTGTGTTTGTTTGTGTTGTGTGTGTGTGTGTGTGTTTGTATCTTTTCAGGAATACGATTAACTAAAAGGAGAACGGTTTGCAGTTACAAAGTCTTAGATGCAGTCAGGTTGATAGCTTACAGGCAATAACCTGAAAGTTTACAAGAAGTTATCTCAATTTAGTTCAGATTACTGTCATTTATTTATTATTTTGTGTTAATCATTTGCTTAGATTATTCCTTTAATATATATGCGTCTAAATAAACATTGTTTGCCTCCATCACTGATAATTAGCTATTGATTGGAAACAATGTGGCATGTCATTAATGTAAAGTTGGAGTAAATAGGGTCTGTCAAGTTCGAGACGTGACAGCTGATGATATCTTATCAGAAATGTTTCATTCTTCTAAGAGGAGTTAATCTCTTTTGATTTGTCGTACCTTTTGTTTTTAATCAACTTTGTTAGTTTAGCCTAGCTTGCAAATTTATTTGGATTGAAGAGGTGTAGTTAGCTGATATGTTAATTTCTATTCCTAACAAATAAGGATATTGGTGCTGGAAGGATTATATATATCAGCATATATGATTATCATCATCAGGTGTTTTTGTTTTGTTGGATTCGTCATGACTTGTTTGGATATAAACGTTTGAGTTTGATGTTTTTTGTGTATTTCATTTCACTTCATTCAAGTTTTATAACTATATTATTCTCATTTTTTTTAATGAAAAATTGTATTATCAAATTTTGTGTGTTAAAAGCAACAAGAATCTAGGGTTTTATCTGAACTACTTGACAGCGGAGAAGATTGAGTTTAGTACATTTCAAGAGTATTTAGCATCATCTTATAACGAACTGAGCTAGTACAGTGTTACAAACTTCTATCTAACTATTTATAATTAGCAATGATAACAAACTATATGCTTAATAACCACTATCTTTGGCGAGTATCAGAAACTTGGAGAACGATCATTTCTTTGGTGGGTATAACTAACAGATATAAAGCAAATTACGAGCAAACCTTGGCGATGGAATCTCCGAACCTCCGTGGTGTCCCTTTTTGCAAGGAAGCTGTTGAAGAGGTTGCTGCTGGAGTAACATTGTTTCCTTTCTGAGCAATACTAGCTTTTACTGCTTTCCTTGGAATCGCACTGGACGCCGGAGCTTGCCGGGCCACATCAGCATATGATTTTGGTTTAGGTCTTGAGGCTTCGGCAGGATGTGTTTCCATTTCTGATTTAGAACGCGAGGACGCGGAAAGAAACCATGGGGTGATAGGAATGCGAGGACGCGGTGCGGCGAGGAGAGAGAGGAGAGGTGGGCCAGGCAGTGAGAGAGATTGGTGGCAGGGATTAATTAGAAGAAACTTGGAGCTCAATTAATTACAAGTAAAAAGCCAAGCCACGTGACGAATTGAACCTGCTTTTACTGTCTATTAGTGGCAAGAAAGTTAATCTTGATCGTTATTTAATAAGTTTCCGATCCCAAAAATAGAGAATGTAATGAAGCCACGTCGGTTTATATGGGGCAGGCACATGAAACTTTTTTTAATGTGATTTGATTTGTTGAAATTGGTCTTTTCAAAGCGTATAAATTGGATAGAGAATCCGTTAACATCATCTGGTAAACCGATGGGTTGCTTAAGTCAACAAATCGGCTACTAATATCTGAACTTATTAGTGGCTGATCCAGTTAACAGGACGAGCACAATATCTACACAAGCCCAAACGGCTCTTTTTCAAGGTTTTAGGTATTTAAGGGTTCTCTTTATATTGAAGAGTTCCTATTCCCAACTTTTATACAACTTCTCTTTATCTTAAATTTCACATAAGCTAAACTTTGAGATATCTTTTCTTGAGTGCTTACAATCTATTAGAGTCTACATTGTATTAAATCCAAGCTATAAAAGATACCCTTGAGGAATTTGGTATTTATAGGATAGACAACATCTTAAGTAAATTTTAGCGGTTGCGAGGGAGTGGTGATTTCTCAGGTTAAACTAATCAATATTTCTACTCAGTATGATCGCGCTAAAGCTCAATCGATATGGTGGAAGAGAATAATTAGAAAATTGAAAAATAACAACCTAATTTTTAGGTTTTATATTATCTCTGCAAAAATATGAACAAATATCTATAATTTTTTAAAAGGTCCCCTTTAATATTGTTGTCTGAGGCCCTTAAAATTACTTGAGGTGATCTGATATGATTTGGCTTTTTCATTAGGTTTGTGATTTGTAAATAGTAACTTCTACAAGAAAAAGGGGTTTTTACGACGACAAAAAGTCGTCGCAAAAACTCCAATGTCGTCGCAAATATTAGTTTTTGCAACGACATGTCGTCGCAGATATGTCGCCGCAAAAAAATAGTCGCAAATACTTTATTTGCGACGACACAGTGTCGTCGCAAATACATTTGTGACAACATTTTTCTTTTGCGACGACGGTCGTCGCAAATACGCCGTTGGTTAATTTATCATGATATAATATTTTTTGCGACGATAATTTCAAAAAGTCGTCGCAAATAATTCAAATTTTTTTGCGACGACAAGTATAAAAATGTCGTCGCAAAAACTGAAATAATTTTTTTTTTTCAATTTTTTAAAAAATGGCAATTAATTAATTTTTAATAATTTTAATTAAACATTATTATGTTACATACTAAATATAATTTATTAAGATACATTAAAATAAAATATAAATTAATATTAAAAACAATAAATCTAAATAAATTTATAAAATATATTATGAATACTACATGAAGTGCATACATAATGTTCAACAAAATATAAAAGTCTAAATAAAGTGAAAAATCATACAGAACATATAACGGAACTATTCCTCTAGGTTTGCAGCATCGCCAACAGCTGAATCATCATTAGAACTGTCATCATCTGAAGGAGGTAGAAGAGCGTCTAGGTTAACTGGTTCTGGACGAGCAATCGTAGGTAATTGGATGTTGGGCTGCAATCTAGACACCAACTCTAACATCTTCACCTGATTGTCATAAATCTTCATTTGTTCCCGGTACGATTTCTTTAAATAACGATCCATACGCGCGTCAGGTTGAGCCGATGATGTTGCGTCCGAGAATGAACCAGCAGATGAAGGAGAAGCCCCGGAGTAATGCTTTTGGGAGAGCATCGGACCCACTCCTTTCTTATGTCCTCTACGCATGCCAAGAACTTGCTCCAAAACCCCATGCTCGTCAAGGGGGGGTCTAGTCGCGCTTGAAGTAGTCTGTGTTCTATGTCTCTCCTCCTCTAGAGTGTTCTACATAATAAGATATTATAATTATTTTTACGTGATATAAAACCACTATTTAAATATAAAAAAATTTAATAAGAAAAGTAAAAATACTTATGAAAGTCTGTTCCGCATGGGTATTAACCCAAGAGTCCCCGCGACGATGCATGTCCGCCCAATTGTCTATAGCAGACATCGGCTCTTGGGTCTCCGTACTGGCCTGTGAAATAAATTACATTTATTAAAATTCTTAAATTCTAACTAAATTTCGGCAGCATAACGACTTATTTTTCATATAAT